TGCAGAGAGAACCCAGAACGCAATGTATGTGGGTTCGCCGTGTTCCTGTGCCCAGCCACTCGCCATTGAGCTGACCCAGAGCTGTCCTGCTGCACCCTTCCTAATCTGGAAGGATTTCCCCAAACTATCACCCCACAAATCCCAGCTCTTCCTACAAAAGTCTGCTGACGCGTCCACCTCGTCTGGGTCCCCGACGTCTCTGCCCATTTGGTGGCTGATGCGTCATCATCCATGAGGCCCACATCAAGAACAACCTCATATGGGGACCTTACGTCTCCACTCTATGGAGACAATTGAAAGGTCCCCCTGGTCCCCTCAAATCCCAAACATGCATTGCATCAATTTCAGAGAGAACTGGGAATGGGGACTAGGGCAGGGCCGCCTTCCTGCGTGACATCTGCTTCTTGCAGCCACGATGAACAGGAAAGAGCTATTTTGGGGTTTTTGCTTTGAAAATGCAAAGGAAGAGAAACTAAAGCAATTAGAACAAGGTGTTTTTCGCCCTGAACTACGAGGACATGGGCACAGTTTTGTCCACACACTGGCTGTGTAACCGTGGAGAGCAGACCCAACCGTGGACAGTGTCCACTTTAGAGTGAGGCATGAATTCCTTGAGGCGGAGATACAAGAAGGCTATGCCCTGCAGGGGACACCTCCCAGATCTTTCTTACAAGATGTGCAGAACAAAGCTGATCAAACACGGCTGGCCCCAAAATCCCACGAGCCGGCTTCTGCTGCGGGCAGGTGACACCGTGACACAGGGATCGGTCTGGTTTTGCAGATGCAATGGAACCTGGGGTCGGGGCTGGGTCAGGACTCACTGCCCACTTCATCTGTGTCTGCTGCACATGTTCTCAACCAGAGCAGGTCCGTCCCCCCAGGAGACAACTGGCAATGCCTAGAGGCATTCGGGTGGTCCCAACTGGGAGAGGAGGTGTGCGTGGTGTCCACGGGTGGTCCCTGTCTAATCAGTTGGAGGTCTCAAGAGCCAAACGGAAAAGGTCCCGGGGGAGAAGGGATTCTGCTCTGGATTGTCTGCTGGGCACAAATGGTATCTGAGATTCCAGGTTGCTGAGTGCCCTGCAGATTTCAGAGGCATGACTGCAACATCAAGTCATACCCGAATGTCCAGTCACCTGGCCTGGCACAGACAGTTTAGACCTCTGGCCCCTACAGTCATGAGTCAGCTCTGTAAAACCTCTCTCATTATAACTAGGCAGTGTGCTATCTGCTCCTGCATTTCTTACGTGAGCATTGATTTTTATCAAGTTAATATATACAAAAAAATAAAAACACAGCAATTCCCTGGCTTATCTCGATTTCCTTGAATTAATGATGTCACATTAATGCAATTCTATTCCAACTACAGGTATGTGAGAATTTTGAGGCACGCGGTACACAGTAGGGATACAAGAGGCATGTGGTGGAGGGGGTGCTCGTCCTAGGCCAGGTGTGGCCCGACGCTTCTTTGTAGAGCAAACGGCTGTGTCGGAAGGAAGGTCTGGGATCTGGGCTGGAGAAGACTAGAAGTAAGCCCTGAGATGGACCAGAGAACAGGACAGGAGGAGCGGGGTGGCGGGCTCAGGAATGTGGACATGGGGAGCACGGGGAAATATGGTGGCCAGATGTGCACAAGCTGGAAGGTGGCCGGAGACGACTACCCTGCAGTCCCCAGATCAGCTTCTACTGGTCATCCAGGGTTACAGAAGGGTTTTCGGCCAAGAGACACATCATCTACCTATCATCTGTCTATCTATCTACCTACGCACCTACCTACCTCTTTATCCATCCATCCATCAATCCATTATGTCTACCTATTCGTCCATCCTTCTACCTACCTATACATATCTATCTACATACATACCTACCTACCTCTTATCTATCATCTATCTATCTACATATCTATTATCTATCACCTACTTTATCTATTCATTCATCAGATCTTTACCTATCTACCAATCCTCCACCCATCCATCTATCCATCCATCTATCCATCCACCCACCCAACCATCCACGCATCCATCCATCCCAACCCATCCATCCACCCCCCCACCCATCCTCCCATCCCTCCACCCAACCATTCATCCATCCACCCATCTTCCCATCCATCCATCCATCCATCCACCCACCCATCAACCCATCCATCCATTCCCCCACCCATCGACCCATCCATCCATCCACCCATCCATTCACCCATCCACCCACCCACCCATCCATCCACCCATCCATCCATCCATCCATC